ATTAACGCACGATATATTTTTGTAGCTTTGTTTCGTATTACAGGATAAAAAGAAAAGCTTTTCAGAATGTTATTAACAGAGTTCGAAAATGCTGTAATATTTTTATTTAATTTGCGTTTGCTGTGCCTTGACTTCGGCATGTATGATATCGAAAGCAAAGCAAAAGCAATTCAGAAAAAAACAAATGCTTTGGCTGCCGTTTTGCTATGAAATTTCGACGGCAATTTGTGGAATCAAAAAGACAGCGCAGCTGCAGCAAATCAACAGCAATTTGACTATAAATTTGCTGCGAAGCATCGAATTGGCAGAAACAGAGGATATTATATGTATGCGTGCGCAAATCCACTAGTCGCTTACCCTGATAAGCTTTGCATTGATCGCGGAGTTAATATGTACATAGATAATATACTATGCTGCAAAAGCGTCATGTGCACAACACAGCCAAGCAGATAGCAGCCCAGCAAGAGCACTATAACAGCAAATCAAAAGCAATAAAAATTTTTAAATAAACTGCCGATAAAAAAAAACAAAATAAACTTTTCAAAGTCACAGCAAAAGCAAAGCAGTTCGAATCAAAATCGAACATTTCAAAGATAAGCAAAAGCAAAAATAGTAATGCTGTTGCTGCTTTGCTGACAGTTTTTCAAACCCTGGTTATTAACGATATTTGATCTTAAATAAAGCCGTCGTCAATACCTGTTGAGCTGAAATTACCAGTCACGTTGAGATTTCTCGCGGAAGGGCGGTTCCAACGATCCATATTGTACTTGATAGGACGACCGTGTCATACATTTTAAAAGAAATGTTAAATATTTTAGAACGGACGCAGTGTCCAAAGTGGATAAAGTTTGGAAGGACGCAATATGAAGATCGCCAGTCTAAGTTACATTTTTTCAACAAATTTGGGATTCCTGGAGTGATTGGCTGCGTCGATAAGACGCACATGAAATTGCTAAAACCCCGCAACAACGAACATTTGTATTTAAATAGGAAAGGTAGTTTTAGCGTCAATACGATGATAGTAAACGTGAAATTATAGTAAATAAAAATGTAAACTACTTACATTTCTATTATTTTATGCGATTTTTTATAAATTCCGCAAAGCCGTTGCTTCGCGTTTTTAAAATGGAAAAAATATGGCGATTTCCATTTCTGGCACATGCCACACGTTACGATTTGATGTTCGAAAAAGAAAAAGTGAAATTCAGCACATGCCAGATTTTTACCAGCTTTTTTAAATATATGTGATCTGGTCTACGGAAAGGGGGCTTAGGTGTCAAAAAATCAATTTTCACTTTTTGGTTGATTCGGATGGAAGATGAGATGCTTTTTCACGTGGTGAAAAGCAGAAAATCCTAATTTGCTTAGAAGTGTACTAAAAATGTAGAGAAAGAAGAGTAAAAATACGACAAAATATAATTTATTGGTAATGCACCAAATACATTGAATTATAAGCTATAAAGACATGATTATACACTAGAAAAACGTATTATGGGCCAAAAATAACAATGCTGAGTAGTTTATGTATTTTTCTTTGTTGTCGTTTTCCTTGAGATCTTTTTACGTGTTGATCCTGAGGAAGATGGACCTGGTTCCTCGTCTGGTTTGAGAACATCTTCACTAGTTTTTGCCTTCCGTTTCTTCGATGGCAAATCTTTCGGCAATGGAGCCACAATATCTACTTTAGATATATCCGAAACTAAGCTGCGAAGATTGTGGTAGATGTACCACTGACGTTCCAAAGATAAACCGGCTGGTTGTATAACTTTCGGCATTTCAGGATCGATAGGTTTTAACAGAAGCTTAGAGGACTGCACTTCTTCACTGTCTGCGAATTTCTTTGTTTTTACACAATCTGTAGAGATTATGAAATGATGGAATTGCGTTATTCCAACAAGTGACTCGTACAGTGGTTTAAAATAGCTGTCCCATTCATACCAGACGACTTTTTCAGCCGATACAGCTTTATTATAACCCCCAGGTGATGATGCCTCGACACACTGCAGTAAATCTGCATACGTGTCGATGTTACTGACGGCATACTTACTTTTGAAAATACCGAAGTAACGATCAGGCGCGAACTTAGTGTGCCCGGTAAGTAGAAAATTGAATAAAATAGTTTTGTTAAGACCCCGAGCCAAACACCATTGCAGATATGATAGTACAGTGTTATTCTTATTCTGCCCAACACAATTGTCACAGAAAAGAACGAGTGTTTCAATGTCTTTATAGTAGGTTTGCAGGTGATAATGCAGGATGCTCACAACACAGTTAGGTCCTTTACCAACGTCATCTTTTCCTCTATCATGTAATTGTACTGTAAGAAAAAAAACTATAAGTAAGAAATATTGTCCGTATACGGCACTGAACTCCTCATCAACACTCATGTTTCATTTCATGCGAAATGCGAAGACGATAATCAACAGAAACAGTAAACGTCACTTCTTCAGTGTTACTTTTTTAAATGTTCCACACTAGCAACTTACACGATGAACTATAATAATATTCCGACCAACAACAATACTGGACCAACAACAACACTTAGTGGACCAACAACAACACTTACTGGACGTCCGGCGCGGGGAACAATTAACGAGATAATGAGAAACTGACGAAACGAGTTGCTTACTTTTAACAGCTTTTTCACAGAAAACTAGTTTTCGCACGTAAGCTCCCTTTTCGTAGACCAGGTCACATATACCTGACTATATTTGTTTTATTGGCCATTTGAAACACATGTGTGATGGGTTGCTCACAATTCGAGTGTATTATCTTGTTAAAGTTGCCACCTTTTAACTTTAAAAGTAAACTCTGAATACCCTATATGTATTTGTCAATGTTATAGTGGCTTATTATCATTTAATTTTAATATTCTTATTGAGCTTTATACCACGATTATCTTATTAGGAAAAATGGAAATAATATATTAATAATAATAATAATGGATAATAAGCCACAATCTCATTGACAAATACATAGTTTAGGAAGAGCCAGCCTGAAACTATACAATAAAGCAAATGCATGTATAGAATTGACAACAACAACCACGCTGTCAAGTTTAAATAGGGGCAAATCAGCTGCACTTTATAGCAGTAGATTGAATAAGGAAAATGAATTAGCAACATGAGTTTACGGGGTGTACATAGCTCAGTGGTTAACGCTTCTGACTTTGCACATCGATGACGCGGGTTCGGTACCTGCTGAAAGTCTAGAAAAAATAAGTCTGAAGAGGAAATGTGGTGATCTCCGAAATAGCTGCTATAACTTTTACCGCTTAGTTTTTTTGCTTTTTCCACAATACAAAGCTCAATAAGAATATTAAAATTAAATGATAATAAGCCACAATAACATTGACAGAAATAATTTTGTTTTGCATCATGCTATGTTTTATACAATAGTAACCGCT